CTCTCTCTCTCTCTCTCTCTCTCTCTCTCTCTCTCTCTCTCTCTCTCTCTCTCTCTCTCTCTCTCTCTCTCTCTCTTTTGTTTTCTTTCAATTTTGCGGCTTTCATTTTGTTTTCCTTCAATGGCAATTTCTTTTTTGTTATATTTTAATTCTTTCTTTTGTTTTCTTTCAATTTCGTGGGTCAAGGCCATCACAGTCGATTAGGCACGCAAGTGGCATTCAGGACATTGTTTGTTCGAGCCCCACGACGGCCTGCGGTGCACTTAGTGCCAACCACCCAAATGAGATGCCTTTCACGCTTCTAACAGTACTCGGATTGCTTACTCTTCTGAAATTTCCGTGAAGGTGTAGAAATCCCAAAGGCACCGTGCGGAGACGAAGTGGAGATCATGATTGCGTTCATAGTGTTGTTCTCATTCAATCTGACACCAAGGATCGCAATGGCCATTTTTTTTCCCTTTTTTGTGCACGTAAGTGCCATTCAGGAGGTTGTGGGTTCGAGCCCCATGACCCCCTGCGGCGCAATGTCTCGACTCCCGGATTTGCAGGCGGTTGAGTCGCAGGCTCCAACCTGACTGTTCACAGCTTGCTGGAGTTTTACACATCACATGCATAGATGTCATCGCACAGATAGAGAAGCTTCACACAAAGCCAAGTCAAGATGAGATGAGAACCAGATAGCGCAGCTCATATTATCAAAATCACATTATATAAAGAGTATCTCGAGTTCAAGAGTTCAGCCCCGACAGATCACAAGTCTCTTTCAATCAATCGCCAACATAGGGCCCGGCTCAGCCAGCATATGCCCCACATCACAGGTATGGCGCCAGCAGGTAAGTATCCACCATATCCAACTTAGGAACCTCCTCTCTCTCTCTTCTCTCTCAAGATCTCTGTTCTTATTCCCTCGTTTCACCATGCATGCACACTCCCTACCTACGAGAATCTACTCTGAATACTACTCACTGATATCCTATCACTAACCCTTCTACTATGAACAAAGTTGGCGCAGCTATGGCTTCTTCTGCTAGCCAGCGCCCAACACTTCTCCTTCCTGGCGCAGCTTTCAAGCTTGCGCTCCTTCCTTGCATTCTAGCGCACAAGTGCCTCAACACTTCCACGCATTGATGCCAATGGGAATTTGTCGTGTAGGGAGGCTGGCTTAGTCTTTTATAGTGCTGGCCTCCCTTCGCGAGGTCTGAATCAGCCTTCCTTGGATCTTTTTCCAGTCCCAAACCACCGCAGAATGTGTCCCAGTACCTTTCCCTCGGGGTCTGCTGCTGCTGCGGCCCTTAGGCCTGAATTTCGGACTTCCAGACTGCATCTAGACTCCCTCTTTGACTTGGATCTAGACTGGGACCTTATCTCTTTGACTTCTCCATGGACAGACACATCTATTGCTCGAACAGACACTTTTACTGTACGCACAGACACATCTCCTGCACAAACAGACATGACTTGCACACCTCCTGGATGAACAAATGTGACCCCCACAATTGATGTTGCAACTGTTCGGTCTGGGGCACGTCTGTGACCTTTGACACAACTCTTCACTTAGTTAGGGTGTGACTTTTGACACAGAGAACATGTCTTTTGATCTGCTTTTCACCAGTTAGGCTCTGGCCGAGTGGGCCCCCGGTATTACCGACCTGCAGGGTTCTGGCTGCTACGGGGTTCTCCATATGCCTCCAATTAGGAGTTGTGGTAGGTAGGTAGTTTGAGGAGAAATTGATAGAAGAATATAGCTTAAAAGAAAAATAAAAAAAGAAAGAGAGAGAGAGAGAGAGAGAGAGAGAGAGAGAGTCTCCTGATGTTTGTGGGGGAGGGGACCTGTGGTGAGGCACAGGGATTGGTCCTGTTGGCATGGTCCCTGATGCTACTGGCTGTCCCCTAGCCGGTATCGCCGAGCTGCAGATTGGGAGCAGCCCCCGCATGTTCTCTCGTGAACACGGTTCTGGCTGCTACGGGGTTCCCCATATGCCTACAATTAGGAGTTGTGGTAGGTAGGTAGTGTGAGGACAAATTGATAGAAGAA